TTTCTAGCCATAAATAAAGGTCACGGAGTCTATAATTGGTGATCCTAAAGAAGCTAAATAAGAAGGTGAACCCAAAGAAAAACATATAGTTATCCTCCTGGCTATGGGAAGTAGACAAAATTGCCAGGCAAAAAAAAAAAAATGGGATCTTGGGGATGGGGTGGGATAGGGGTAAGGGGAGATGGGGAGAGAAAAGTGAGAAGGGGAGGTTGGGGGGAACTTGGGAAACGGGATGATTGGGATAAAGGAAGGTTGGATAGGGAAGCAGGGAAGCACAAATCTTAGTTAAGGGAGCCACCTTAAGGTTGGCAAGAGACTTGAACCTAGAGTGGCTCCCAGGAGCCCAAGGCGATGTCCCCAGTTAGTTCCTTGGGCAGCTGAGGATAGGGAACCTGAAATGACCCTACCCTATAGTCATACTGATGAATATCTTGCATATCACCGTAGAACCTTCATCTGGTGATGGATGGAGATAGAGACAGAAACACACACTGGAGCACCAGACTGAGCTCCCAAGGTCCCAAAAAGGAGCAGAAGGAGGGAGAACATGAGCAAGGAAGTCAGGACCACGAGGGGTGCACCCACCCACTGAGACAGATAACCCAATTTGTAAAAATGTGGTACAGAACTGAATAGTGAATTCTCAACGGAAGAATCTCAAATGGTTGTAAGACAACATCCTTAGCCATCAGAGAAATACAAAGCAAAACAACTCTGAGATACCATCTTAAACCACTCAGAATGGCTAAGATCAAAAACACCAACGATAGACTATGCAGGAGTGAATGTGTAGTCACGCAAACACCCATCCATTACTAATGGGACTTCAAATTTGTACAACCACTCTGGAAGTCAGTATGGCGGTTTCTCAGAAAATTGGAAATCAACAACCTCAGGACCCAGGAATGCCATTCTTGGGCATATACCTAAAAGATGCTCAATTGTGCTACAAGGACATTCAATCTCTTTCATTTGTAATGATTTGTTGTACATTTCAATATATGGTCTATTTAGAAAAGTTTCTCTATTATGCAAAGTAAAATGTGTATTCTTTAGTGTTTGGGTGGACTTTTCTATAGGCATTTTTTAAGACCATTTGATATGTGAAGTGAATTAATTCTGATGTTTCTTTGTATATTTTTTCTTGCAAGATATCATGTCTCGACCAAGGATTGAGATGCCAGAGCCACTGCCTGCACTCTGGAAGAAGAAGCAGGGTCTCCAGTTTCCACCTCTGGTTCTAACAGGATGAGCATCAGGATCCCACCCACACTAGAGGAGCTGTCAAGGCAGGCTCTGCTGAGGAACGAGGCCCTGGCCATCTCTGCTCTGGAGAAGCTACCCAACATGCTCTTCCCAGCACTGTTCAAGGAGGCCTTCAATAGCAGATGCACTGGGATCGTGAAGGCAATGGTGGTAGCCTGGCCTTTCCCCTGCCTCCGTGTGAAGGGCATGATGAACACCTTCAACTCAGAGATTTTTCGTGCTGTGCTGGATGGACTGGATGTCCTGCTGACTCAGCAGGTTTGCCCCACAAGGGGGGAACTTTGAGTACTCGATTTTCGGAGGGTGCCCTGTGACTTCAAAACCATCCCGACTGGAACACAGGATGGGGTCTGCTCAACAGAGAATGTGAGTGTGAAGCAAGCAGGAAGCCCCCTCCTACACATGAGCTGAGGCCACAAATGAAGATGAGAGTTGACCTCAACTTCAGGTCCGAACTGGAGGAAGAAGAAATGTACTTCTTACAGTGGTCCTGGCAGAGAAAAGACTCGCTCCAGCTCTGCTGTGAGGATGTAAAGATTGTGTTGCTGTCCCTAGATAATGTCAGGAAGGTCCTGAGTGTTTTCAAGCCAAAACACATCAAGGTGTTGGAGCTCAGCATAGATTGGAGTTGGTGCACTCTGGCACAATTTTCTACCTACTTCCCGATGATGAGAAACCTTCACACACTTTATCTAGTGTATAGACATGAGAACAGATTTGGGGTTTGCGGTCTACCACGCTTAGATGAGAAGAAGTTTGTACAAAAGTTGGCTTCTCAGTTTTCCGGACGCAGTGGTCTCCAGCATCTTTATCTGCATGGCTTTTGTTTCTTCAGTGAGCACGTGAAACTCTCGCTCAGGAACCTGAAGACTCCCTTGGAAACCTTCTCTGTCACTCACTGTCCTGTTTTACAGTCACACTTGAAAGACTTTGCACTGCGTCCATGCCTTCATCAACTAAAACATCTGGACTCGAGTGGACCCCTACTGCGCAATGTGTCTATTGTGCCTCTCAGTGTTCTCCTAGAGATGGGAGCAGACACTTTTGAGACTGGAATTGCAGAGGTGTAGGAGAAAGGACTCTCAGTTCCGTGAACACCTACCTGCCCTCAGCCAATGCTCCCAGCTCACCAAGGTCAATTTCTATAGCAATGACTTCTCCATGAATCTCTTGCGTGACCTTTTCCACCACACAGCCAACATGAGCAAGATGACCATGGAGCAGTACCCTGCCCCTCGGGAGTGCTATGATGAGTGGGAAAACATCTCCATAGACGCATTTTCTCAACTTTGTTCTCAGCTCATGGATATGCTTAGGGCCATAAGGCAGCCCAAGAGGATAAGCTTTGCTACATATCTCTGTGATATATGTTCTCAACGCTGTGTGTATGACCAGGAGACCAGACTTTGTTCTTGCTTGCAATAAAGAGGGGGAAAGTTGCTTTTGGTCTTTGAATTCTCAGGGTGGCTACATAGAGGCCTTTGTGCAGAGCAGTTAACTAAAGTGAGCAATGCAGACACCCACACCTTCTACAGCAGAGGTTTGGGGATTTCTAGAGTTTTTTAATCCTGGATACCAATGCAGG